ATACATATGAATCACCAAGAAGATATAAAAACCCTAAATCAAGAAGATACAAAAATCCTAAATAAACCAGTATCAATCAATGAAATCAAAGATGTAATTATAAACCTACCAACAAAGAAAAGCCCAGACTCTGATAGAAGCACTGCTGAATTCTACAAGAAATTTAAGGAAGACCTAATACCACTTCTTCTCAAACTCTTTAATAAAATTGAAAGGAAAACAGTAGTTCCAAATTCATTCCTGGAAGCAAGCATTATCCTGATATCAAAATAAAAAAATAAAAAAAAAATCAGAAACAAGGTAAGGATGTCCACTGTCTCCACTCTTACTCAACACAGTCCTGGAAACTTTAGCTAGAGAAATTAGACAAGAGAAAGAAATAAAAGGAATAATGGTAAGCAAGAAGAAGTTAAACTATCATTATTTGCAGATGACATGGTACTCTAAATAGAAGACCCCAAAAACTCCACCAAAAACCTGCTAGATTTAATAAACTAATTCAGTAGCACAGCTGGATACAAAGTCAACACTCAAAAATCAATAGCCATCCTATACATGCATAACAAACTCACTGAGAGAGAAATTAGGGAAACATCTTTCACAGTAGCATCCAAAAAAAATGAAATACTTCAGAATCAATCTAAAGCAGGATGTAAAAGACTTCTACATTTAAAACTACAGTACTCTAGGCGCTGGGGATTTAGCTCAGTGGCGCAGAACCCGCCTGGCAAGCACAAGGTCGTGAGTTTGATTCCCAGTACCAGAAAAAAACAAACAAAAAAAAAAACTACAGTATTCTAAAAAGAAGATTGAAAAGGATATCAGACAAAAGATTTCCCTTGCTCTTGGGTACAAAGAACCAATATAGTCAAAATGGCCATACTTCCAAAACTGTTATTCACATTTAATGCAATTCTGATCAAAATTCCAATAGCATAACTCACAGAATTAAGGAAAACGATCCTAAAATTCATTTGGAACCAGAAGAGAACTAGAATATGGAAAGGCAATTCTGAGCAACAAATGCAAGGCATGACAACCCCTGACTTCAAATTATACTATAAAGCTACTGAGATTAAAAACAACATGGTACTGGCAAAAAAAAAAAAAAAAAAATCACAGACCCGAAGGTCAATGGAACAGATTAGAAGATGCAAAAACAGCTTCAGACATGCTCAGCCACTGTATCTTTGACACAGGGGCCAAACACATTCACTGGAAGAAAATAGCCTCTTTAATAAATGGTGCTGGTAAAAATGGCTTTTTACATGCCAGAGGTTAAAAATTGGACCCATATCTTTCACCATGCACTAAACTAAATTCAAAATGGATCAAAGACCTAAATATTAAAGCAGAACATTAAATCTGCTGGAAGAGAGAATAGGTAAAACTCTTGAAGACTTTATGAATAAACTCCCCCCAAAAAAGTCTATAAAAATAAAAAAGTTCTTATTTAGCAAAAATAACTATGAAAGTGAAAGTCCTTATTTAGCAGAAAAAAAAATCACACAGGAACTACCACAAAGAATTAACAACTGGGATCTCATCTGATTAAAAAGCTTTTGCACAGCAAGAGAAACCACCAACAGAGTGAAGAGACAACCCATAAGGTGGGGGGAAATGTTTGTCAGCTGTTCCTCAGACACAGTATTATTTCTGAAAACATAAAAAGAACTGAAAAAAATCAGACCTCCCAAATTTAAAGACACTATCCAAAAATAAGCATCTGACATGAATACATACTTCTCAGATAAAGAAATACAAATGACAATATACGAAAAAATGTTCAACAATACTGGTCATTTGAGAGATGCAAATTAAAACAACAATGAGATTCTATTCGACCCTGGAAAGCATGGCTATTATCAAGAAATCAACCAATAACAAATGTTGGAGGGGTTGTGGGAAAAAAAGAACCCTTCTCCCCTGTTGGTAGGAGTACGGACTGGTGTAACCACTGTGGAAATCATGTGGAGATTCCTCAAAAAACTAGGATTGAGGTCTCATTTGAACCAGCTATTCCCCTGCTGGATATCTTCCAAGAATTAAAAACATCATACCAGGGATATATGTGCACCCATATTTATAGCAGCACAATTTGTAATATATTTTGCAAAGAACACAAATGCCCAACAACTGAGGAATGTATAAACAAGATGTGGTATTTCTACAGGGTGGAGTGCTACTCAGCCATAAAGGATAAATGTGAGACTTTTATAGGTAAATGGATACAATTTAAGACCACACTCATAAGTGAAATAAACCAGACTCACATCTGTAAACGTTATATTGTCTCCTTAGTGTGAGAAGCTGTAGGAGTAAATAAGATCCAAACTGTACAATAGATATTGTAAAACAGGAAGAAATTGTTCAAAAGGAAAGAGCAACTGGGATGGGGAAAAGTAAAAAAGAAAAACAACAACAAAAAAATGCATATATATACAAGATAGTTAAGATTGTTGTACTACATTCATTGAAAAGGTCTGTGCCAATATTGTGTGGACAATTAAATGCCTATATGTTATACTGAGTAATTTGAGGATAACGACATGCAATGTATTAACCATTGATACTGCCCTAATATTCTGTTTTGATATTTTATTTTATTTTATTTGTCAAATAAAATTTTAAAAAACTAGACGACTTAAGAAGAAACTGTAAAATGTGTACATACATACACAAAGTACTAAATTAGGGAAGTTAAGAATTTAGAAGCCAGGTAAACACCAAAAATTTGGGGATGGATAAAAAAAATAAAAATAACCAAAGACTGAAAGACTGCTCAGAGACAAAGTAAGAAAAGCAGTTGCGGGGCTGGGGATTTAGCTCAGTGGCACAGCGCCTGCCTGGCAAGCGCAAGGTGGTGAGTTCAATTCCTGGTATCGGGAAATGCCCCCCTCCCCCCCAAAAAAAGAAAAGAAAAGCATGTTATGGTTTAAGTACTGGTTGTCCTCCAAAGAATCATGCATTGGTGGGTGCTAACATGCATTAGTCCATTGACGAGTTCACGCTGAATATGCTACCAGGAGGTGGCTGGGGAAGTAGGCGGAGTGGGGGCAGGGTTGTGCCTTTGAAGTATATAACTTTCCTCAGGCTTGGTCTCTTTCTGCTTCCTGGCTTCCATGAGGTAAGCAGTTTTCTACCACCTCATCATGTTTCTGCCTTGTGCCCAGCTATAGACTGAAACCTTTGAAGCCATAACTGCCCCAAAAAAACCCATCCTAAATTGTGTATGTCAGATATTTGTCCCAGCAACAAAAAGGTGACTAACAGTGGCTAATGCAGAGTAGGAACAATTTAAAGAACATTAGAAATCAGTGTGTCAAAGACCTCTTGGAGAGGAAACAATGAAAGCTGAATGCTAGCACTGGATTTAGCATTTGAGGACTGACACTCCCTAAAGAGCCAAGTCAATAATGTTTCTCTTTTATGGCTTCTCATTCCTCTAGCAGGTACATCATAAACACTTCACATATTTTTACACTATGCATCTGCTCATAGACCCTATCAATCCTATCCTCTTTGACATAGAGAATCAGTGATGGAAATGCTTAATTTCTCAGGTATTTTGGAGGATACAGGCGGAGTCCACTGAATTAGGGGTATACTGAACTGACAAGCATCTACAGGAAACTGAAAAAAGTACCTACAGAATCAGGTATTAAAATTTTAAAAAGCACAGGACCCATAAGGCACATGAAAACAAGTGTTTCAAGAAAGCAGTCAAGCCCTTTACAATTTCAAATAAGGACTAAAGTGTCCGTTTGATTTAGCACCAGGAAGTCATTGGAAACCTTGGCAAAGTGATTTCAATGGCACCGAATGGAAGCGATTGGACACCTGGGGAGTCAGGAAGCAAATTCAGACAATTAGAGGGGCCCCACTAGCCTTAGCAAGAGGCAGAGACTCCACTTCTATTGGTGAATAAAGGAGGGGGTTAGTACTAGGCGCATGTTAAGTTCAAAGATTTGATGGCAGAAAATGGAGAAATTTCACATCTGATACATTCTGGTTTTTCTGTTGTGTTGTGCATTTGTTTGTTTTAGGAAAGTTGACCATCACCTACTGAACGTGAAAGAAGAGATTTATAAAGGAAAAGAAGCTTTAAATAATCACAATGGAAAATGTCAAAGGTAATTAAATAGGAAAATACAGAAGGCATAAATGAGGACTACATACTCTCAAAAAACTAATTCCTGGAAAGCACCCTACTGAAACATATACTCATTGTTACCTTCTACTTGCTCATCTGAGGAAATGCTAGTTACACTTCAAAACTAACTCCAAGCCAGGGTTGGTGATGCATTCTTGTAGTCCCGCGCTACTCAGGACGCTGAAGCAGAAGAATTAAGTCTGAGGACAGCCTGGGCAACTTAGTGAAACCCTGTATGAAAATAAAACCTAAGAGGTGGGGATGTAGCTCAGGGGTAGAGTGCTTGCCTAGTATACCTTTGGTTCAGTCCATAGTACTAGAGAAAAACAAGAGAAAAGAACTCTACTAGAAAGGCCTTCTTGGTACTATACTCCCTAAACAATTCCCAAGCCCTAGTTACCATCTTCCGCATTAATCCTTCTACTTTATACACAATCCTACTACTCCTGTATGACACTGCCTTTATAGCTCTACAAGAATATTTCCCCTACTAGATCTACTAGATAGTAAGCTACTACAAAGTGGAAAATGCATTCATATCATGAGTTCAAAACTTGGTTAAAATGAATTTTAATTAAGATACCAAGATGCCAGGGCTGGGGGTTTACCTCAGCGGCACAGCGCCTGCCTGGCAAGCGCAAGGTCGTGAGTTCGATTCCCGGTACCAGAAAAAAAAAAAGATACCAAGGTACCTTAACTATCCTAACGGAAAGGATCCAACACAATCTACTTCAAAAAACACAGTTTTAACAAAAAGTATATAAATGATCACAAAAAAGGCAAGTAAGGCAATAATATTCAACAGAAATATCATTTAGAACTTTATTTCAGTAACTTTTAACCCGCTTTGGTCTACAAATATGTGCATTATTTCTTGCACGGATGTTCAACTTCAAATGTATTTATTCTGTACCTATTGTATGCAAGATACAGCTAGTAACACTCAAAAAGGTTCCCTACAACACAGCAGAAGCGAGTAAGGCAATACACAAATGATTTTCATACAAGGTACAATGTCAGTTCCATTAAAGAAAAATTAGAACGAGTAGGACCTTACGTTTACCCTTAGAAATTTGAATTTTATTCTGAATAAAATATTCGGGACACGTTAACTGGATTAATGCAATTGACTGTGCTTTTCAAGTGTACTGTATTTAACTTATTTGGGACAACTTCTCTCCAAAACTCTCAATAAATCTAACTGGGTTTGACAAATGGAAATCCAAACCTGAACAAGTATTCTGAACTCTCTCCCATGTCTCCTTGTGGATAACTGCCTGTGTTCACAAAAAAAAAAAGTGGGGGGGGGGGATCCGCCACAGGGAACACCTGTACAGCCCAAGAACTTAATGCAGGCGTTTCCAACTCTATTTTAAGTGGTCCTCTTTCGAAAGTGTCTGCGCTCCGCTCAGTCTCACACTTCTCTTGGGCTGCGATATTTCGTCCTTCCGTCCCGAACTGCAGTAGCTGCCAACGCGGGCCACTGGCGCGGGGTCCTGGAACTTCAGAGAAGCCCAGGGCGCGAGGGACACCGAGCTGAAAACGGGAGCCACCACAGACTACCGTCGGACGCCGGAGGGAGTGGAAGTCGTCGGGATCACTTCGGCAGCACCCGGATGCCCGGGGGCCGTCGGAGGGGAGTGGTCACGTCGAGACCGGTAAACTTTCTGCACAGGGACGGGTTGAGTCCCCTACGGTGACCCAGGCACGGTACGGGACAGTGCTCCCAGCCCCAAGGCCTGGCCAGACCCCGACTCCTTACCGTCCTGCAGAAGCTCCCGTACCGTCGCCGCAGCCCCTCCAGAACCCAGAGACCCCAGGCCCGCCACAGCGACGCCGCCGTCGCCACCTTCCATGTTGGCAGGTGCCGAGCTGATGGCGTCAGCGGCGGCACTGCCCCGCCCAGGTGATGACGCAGAATCTGGGCGCCGGCCGCCGAGTAAGCATGCGACACCTGGTAGGCCCGGCGAGCGCGCTGTGCTGCTGCGCATAGTATCGTGGGTACCTGGGGCAGCGGGCACGGAGGGCCAGGGGCGAGGAGCCCGACACGCGAGGAGAACAAGGCCACCAAGCAGAGGCTGTCTACTGTCTCGAGCCGCGCCCCCGGCGCCGGGAGGAGGAGGAGGAGGAGGTGGGCGCCGGAACGGGGCCGCGGGAGCCCTGGAGCGAGGGCCTCGTGGCTCAGCGCGCGAGGAAGATCAGAGCGTCCGGGGAGCTCGCCTCCCAGCTTTATCTGTCTCGCCATTGCTTGCCAATAAGTAGTAAAAGCTGGCCGTAAGGCTTAGGAGGAAAAGTTGCTAGAGGCTGAAGTACTAAGTAAACCTACACGCATCGAATACTCATAACAACTCGTGAGCAAGTCTTGTGCCACACGGCATTATGCTTTTCTCTCCGAGGGGTTTTCCCTAATTTGTGTGATCTCAGCCGTGATGTGAATAGGGTCGATTGCTCTGAGAGGAGGGCACATGAAGTGCCAAGGGTAGTTTAGTCTGTGACTCACACTAGATTTCATTATCCATAATACGCGAAACTAATTTGTTAGTAATTACTACTAGTAGCGAATACCTCTGTCTGTGAATTATGGGGTGTTTTTATTTCTTAGCTTTTATTTTTTACACTGGAAGATTTTAGAAGAGCGCATGATATTCATATAATGAAAAGTTTTGACCCCTTGTTGTACATACCAGCGAGTTTAGGAACAGGACTGACTCTATATCCAAAAGGAGATAATAGGTAAGCTAGAAGCCCATTTCAACAAACAGTTGTGCCAGGTGCAGTGGAGTGTATGTATTTACTTCAGGAGTTCCAAGTTTGACTGCACGCTGAAGTCACGTGGCAAACATTTAATAATAACACTGATTCCTGCATCTGAATAAGCTCAGAGATTGGGATGTAATTGACCTGGGATATCACTTGGGCATCTTGATTCTTAAAAGCTCCCAGATCACTCTAATGTACAATCAAGGCTGAAAACTACTGAATTATTTAGCAAACACATATTGGGAGAAACCTAACTGCTATTTACTGTGATTACAAGCATAAATAAGAGTGAAATCATTCTTGCTTAAGCCACTAAAATGAACTTGGCATTGGACACTTTTTAGTCTTCTGTGATGTTTAAGACATTTCCTCCTATGTAATAGTCTGGCCTCTTGATTTTTGAATATCACTCTTCAGGGTTATTTCTCCCAGTTCCAAAATTCATTTGTCCCAGTCTCCTTTGCAGTCTCCTTTTTTCTGTTACTTAGGTGTTGGTGTTTCTGAGGACTTTTTTAAAGCTTTGGCATCTGTAAGTGCCTTGATCATGTTTTAGTTTTCACTTGTTACCTATGATTAAAGTTTTAACAACTTTGAGTAATTAAACCGCGTAAAACTAGCTTTTATCCAAGTTACCAAGGCCAAAGATTGGAATATGAAAAGCAGAGATTGGACTATCAGAGGCAGCAAATATTGAAATAATCAAACTATTTTTCTGAAATGATATTTTAAGTGAAGTATAGAAAATATAAAACCCAAGAACTACATAATTTCATCACTTATAATTCATGGGACATAAAAGTGGTTTACTGTTCAATTATGATTGCAATTGAGATTTTCATGATAATACTATGTTTAAATTTTTTTAAATAGTAAAGATTCATTTGCCTTTTGATTCGCAAAGAATTACAATAAAAATACCAGGATACTCTACTAGAGTTGTTTTATTAATGCTATTTAACTTTCCTGAAGAAACAAAGATATTTTAAAGTTCCAGCATTATATTCCCAGTATTATATAGAAAATAATTCAAATCACATTTATTGGTCTGTCAGTGCCAAACAAAATGGCAAAGGTTTAAAATATGAAAAATCATAAAGTGATAGACTAGCAAAAAAATCTTATAGTTTTTGTCTTGGTTACTTTTCTCTCGTTGACACAAAACACCCTATGCCCAAAATTAAGGAAGGAAAGGTTTATTTAGCTTACAGTTTGTGGAGGTTTCAGTCTATAATCAGCTGAAGACAGCAAAAGCTGCAAGAGCAGAAGGGGAGAGCAGCAGAGAGCAAGCCTCTTTCCCTCCCTTATATTGTATGCGAGCTACCTACCCCAGGGTGGGTGTAGCACTCACACCTATACCAGCATTGGACCACAAGACAGTCAAAAACTAGAAGCCTGCCCCATGACTGCAGTGAGGCTTTGAGGGAACTTCCAGACACAAACCATATCAGTTTCCTACATTTTTTTCACAACTCTGTGTTGCTTTTCACATAAGTGAAGGCAGAATTTTGTTGTATCCTATTTGATAATGTGAAAAGAAGCTGAAACAACTTCTAAGCCCATAACCCTGATTAAAAATAAATATTGTTGGCATTTGAAATTGATAGAATGTTGGGAATTCATCTAATGAAGTACCTTTTCTCTATGTAAGCTGATCATCTTTTTCAGATTTGAAACAAATTTGTATTCATGAAGAGTGACTCTATACAAACCACAATATGTCAAGAAAGAAAAAAAGATCCAATAGAAATGTTTCATTCTGGACAGCTGGTAAAAATCTGTGCCCCAATGGTTCGATATTCAAAGTAAGTATTATTAAATGGTAAACGAACAAAGTGTAATGTCCCTTTCATGCTGTGACTTTTTAAAGTATTATAAGGGATCTTACCACATTGGACCTTACCAAGTTGGAGCCACTTTCACATGAAGATGTCAGTATACAAGTCACATTTAACATAAGTACAATTCATCATGAGAAAACCACAGTTGTAAAATCCATTTCTGGACTTCACACTTGTCAAGTTCAAAAATGAACTAGAAAGAAACATTACAGTCAAGCTTGGATATGCTAATGCTAGGATTTATAAATTTGATGACCCAAGTTTCCTTCAACCAGAATGTAATATGTCTTGTGGAGGTGATATCCCTGATGAGTGTCCTACAGCCATTCCAGGGATAGAGGGAACTTCAAATTGGGCATGTTTCCTTTGTTGACTGTCTACTATGCTGAATGGTGCAGCAATAATGAATACAGCTCTTCTTGATAGCTAGTACTGAATCTTACCTTCAGCCTCAGACTTTTGGATAAGTACCTGGGCTGCAACAAAAATCATGAAGCTGAAGCATATTTGTCACTTACAGAATAAAATTGATTTGGTAGAAGAAAGTCAAGCTAAAGAACAATATGAACAGATTTTTGCGCTTCTACAAGGTACAGTGGCAGAAAGAGCTCCTGTTCCAGTTTGTACGTACCTGAAATACAATATTCAAGTTGTCTATGAGGACATAGCAAAGACAATACCAGTACTACTTCCTAGAGACCTTACTTTAGAACCTTGACCTTTTTGTAAGAGAAAAAAAAGAACACAAAGTAAAAAAAAAAAAACAAACAGCAAAAAAACAATAAAAGTGATACAGAATTTCAAAACAAGGAACCTTGACTTACTAGGTCATTTGAGATCAACTGGTTGTGAAGTTGATGACCTTAAGGATATGGCTGGTGGTAGTTTTCTAAGAGGAGTATTAAAGGTGGCCCAGGAAATAGCAGTCCAGCTTGGCATTATTTCAAAAGGAAAACTCACGTGTAAACCAAGTTTTTACAAAATCGTATCACTTTTTATGGAACATAGTGATCTTCACTATGAAAAAATCCACCCCACTTTGTGCCATGCTGACAGAATGGTGGGGCAGGTACTTGGTGCTGTTGGAACTTTACCTGAACTGTTCATGGAACTGAAACTTTCCCTACCTCCTACTTACATGGCTTCTAGGATTATGCACTGAAGGAAACAAAAAGCGACAGTGGTCCAAAAGCTGTCAAAAAATGAGCTTATGGTCAACAGAGGATCTTTGTCAACAGGAGGGAGAGTTAGTGCTATCATGGCTGATTTGGGCATCATTGTTTTGACTAATCCTCTGTGCACAGAGTAGGAAGAATCATTGCGTTTAGCCAGAGTTGAGAAACACTGGCGTTTAATTGGTTAGAATCAGTTGAGAAACACTGGCGTTTAATTGGTTAGAATCAGATTGGTTAGAATCAAACACAGGCGTTTAACTGGTTAGAATCAGTTTAATTGGTTAGAATCAGATGAACAAGAGTGGCAGTCAAACCTTAGATGATGACTGCAGCATCCTAGTTAAATAATACATTCTGATGGAGTTAGAATTTCTTTTAACAGCCTAGGAGTATATTTTCAGAGCAATACTAGAGAATTAATTTCACAGCTCATTACTTTAGTAGGTAGTTCGAAGGGTAGTACTACTGTTAGGTCAATAATAGATTTTTTTTTGAAGAAGCACTATAAAATCACCATATGGGATCATCAAACTCCTAGGTTTGAAATCATGACCTAGAATTCAGTCCTAGTATTGCCACTTGCCTGGTATATATGTGTGTGGCCTAAGTAAACACTTAGGGGTTATAACTCCCACATGTAAGGGGAAGGGTTGTAACTCCCACATGTAAGGATAGTGAATATTAGGTAGATATAAATACTAATGTACAGGTTTTTGTGTATATATACATCTTGGACAAATACATAGGCATGCAATTGCCAGGTCACAAGGTAGTTGTATGTTTAGTTTTATAAACTGTCAGACTTCTAGAGTGGCAATACCATTTTATACCTCTACATAGTAACATGTAAGAGATCCAGTTTCTCCTCATCACCAGCTTTTGATGCTGGTACTGTTTTTGTTTAAACCATTTTAATCAGTATATAGTTTTAAAGCTACTTACTGTGGTTTTAATTTGCGTTTCTTATATACCTAATGATGAATATCTTTGCATATGCTTATTTATTATCTGCATATGTATCTTCCCTTTTGCCCGTTTCTAATTATTGTTTGCTTTTTTACTATAGAAGATTTTACTTTGTTAGAAAATATACGTACCAAGGGGCTGGGGATTTAGCTCAGCGGCAAAAGCGCCTGCCTGGCAAGCTCAAGGTCGCGAGTTCGGTTCCTGGTACCGGAGAAAAACCAAAACAAACAAACAAACAAACAAAAAAAAAAAGAAAATATACGTACCATACTGAACTACTGTATAGTTCAGTAGTGTTAATTACATTCAATGTAATATATATGGTCTCTAAAACTCCAGTTTCTAGTTTGATTAGCAAGAAGACTTCTGTGGGGCTGATTTTGTCTGTTCCCACTGATGATTCCAGGTGTCCAGTGTCTTCAAGCCCCAACTCTGGCATATTTCAAGGAAGAAAAAAAAAATGGGAAATGACCCCCCCTCTAATTTCTCAGGATGCAGCATCACTAGCCTGACTATGCTCTTCTCTGCACTTTGAAGATTTTTAGATATGATACCCATGTATTTTGCTTATACTTAGCAAAAGTGAGAAAAAGTATATCCACTCCATCTTCCCATAAGCAGAACTCTCTCTAATAAATATTTCATAATTAACTAAACTTGTAAATATATATGATTATGTATCTTCTAAATGCATAAGTAGTTTTATGTGTTCACAGGTTGGCTTTTAGAACACTAGTGAGAAGATACTCTTGTGATCTCTGTTATACACCAATGATAGTTGCTGCTGATTTTGTCAGATCTGTAAAAGCCAGAGACAGTGAATTTACCACCAACCAAGGTATGTGAAACCCATATTTTGCTGACTTTGTAAAACTTAAAAACATACTCTTTTTTTTACAAACTCAACCATTCTATCTAGTCAGAGACAACATAATTCAAAGATTTTATAATCCTTTAGTTCTTAAAGTGTATTTTACACATAGTATTTAAATATCATACTGGATACCTAATAAGCTCATTGTAACAGTAATCTAGATAGGCATAAGGTCAGCCTTTCAAATTACAAATGAAAAATGACAATTATAAATAGAAAATTGTGCAAGAAATATAAAAGAGCTCGCAAGATATACAAATGTATGTACATTGTAGAATAAGTTGTGAGGAAGCAGGTACCTTCATCTATATTGATCTGTATTGGTTAAAAAATGTCTATCCAAGTGATCGTACTTCTAGGAACATACCATGTGAATATACTCACAGAAGCATGTATTCCAGAGTATCCTTACTGCAGCATTAAGTGGGAGTACTACAAATAAAAAGCAGTCTGTAAATAGTTGGTGGGCCTGGGGATTTAGCTCAGCGGCACAGCACCTGCCTGGCAAGCGCAAGGTCGTGAATTCTATTCCCAGTACCAGGAAAAAAAAAAAAAACCAGTAGTGGGTGGTCTGTACATACTGTGGAGTTTGCCACTGAAAAAACATAATACAACTCTCAGTCACTTCAGGGGAAAACAGTAAGCACAGCAGTGTGTATAAAATGATTGCGTTCATTTACAGTTAACAAGTATGCATAAAATCACTCTGGAGTACAATAAACTACCATCTTTAGCTAGAGGGTCTCTTTGTCAAGACTCTTAGAACACTTTTGGTTTTAATCAAATTTAGTTCTGTTTGAATTTTCACTTAGTGTAAATACTTTTAATATTTCTAATGTATTTATTGGTATTTTGTTTGTGTATAAAAATTAAAGCTTGGTATCGGGTGGGTCTGTTTGTTTTTGTGTGGATTTTAATGTTTAGTTATTGATTTTATCAGGTGATTGCCCATTGATTGTTCAATTTGCTGCTAATGATGCAAGACTTTTATCTGATGCTGCTCGTATAGTGTGTCCTTATGCGAATGGAATAGACATTAACTGTGGTTGCCCTCAGAGGTAAAGCTCAACGAAGTTGGAAGAGTTTTCAAAAAGATTAGAAAAAAACTATATGACCATGGTAAAATATCTTTCTGGTTTTCTAAAAGTTAAAAAATAAAGACATAGAGTTAAAGCACCAGGGCTCTAAATGAGAAAGAAGAGGGAAAAGTATAAAGAAAGATTATTTTGTAATACAATTTCGTGCCAGTACCCCATGCCTGGAATCCCAGCACTCAAAGACTGAGGCAGGAGGATTTCAAGTTCAGAGAGTAAATAGTGAGATCCTATCTCAAAAAAAAAAAAACAAAGGAATATAACTTCAGAGGTCTTTTCTGATGGCTGAAGTGCTACACAAACTGTTGATAAGTATTTTGTCCCCTTCAACACTAGCATTTTTTGTGTGGATCTGCCTTCAACCTTATCCATAAATAATTTTATAAGAATCTAATGTTTATGTCAATCCCCACAATGTATTTTTACTGTTATATTTTTGCTCTAGAAACTGATTCTGTGATTTAGGAAATACCGTGTGTTTTCTCTTAATTTGCAAGAAACCTCATTATAATCACCTTTTCTTTCTATCCAATAGTTATGGTATTTGGTTGGATTTGGAAGGATGGACATAAATCCCCACTATACTAGGTTATCTGTCAATTCAAAATGTGTCCAATTCAAATGTGTCCAAAATTCAAATGTTTCCAAAATTCAAATATGTCCAAAGAATAAAATCAAGGCTCTAAGTACAGTATAATCCACATCAGATTACACATATTTGGGTACTCATTAGGAGAGTTAAATAAGCTATTTAATGGTATTGGAATGTTGTAAGCCAAAAAATAATCATTCTATCAAGACTAATAAAACCTCTTGTTATACACAATAAACATCAAATTTGGAATTTTAAAAATCCGAAATAATTGCAGTTAATTACAAATACTTAAACCTGTTTTGGTTGAATGAATTCTAATTTAATATTCTCACTGCCAGTGGAAACTATTCTCTGTGAGTATTTTTTGATCTGGGAACATGTTTTCCTAATCTCATCGGTCCACTTAGAAATGTTGACCTATGAATTTTAAAATTCTGCTTCATTTCAGATAACTAGATAGAGAAATACAAAGGTGCACTTATACTTCAGTGCTTTTAGAATTTTATCTTCTCTTTATCTGCTGTTTATAATTCATCTGTTGTTGTATCTGCTTTATAAAGGTGGGCAATGGCGGAAGGTTATGGAGCTTGCTTAATAAATAAGCCAGAGCTTGTTCAAGATATGGTGAAACAAGTAAGAAATCAAGTGGAAAACCCCAGATTTTCAGTCTCTATTAAAATAAGGTAAAGATAACCTTATTTCTATTAAGGTTAAATAAGATAAACTTATTTCTATTAAATAAGGTAAAGATAAAGATAAAATAAGGTAAAGATAACCTTTACCTTATTCTATAAAATAAGGTAAAGGTTAAGGTAACCTTTACTTTATTCTGTAAAATAAGGTAAATATGTAATCTATTACTCTATAATGTATTGGTAACATTTAACCTATGAATCTAATGAATCTGTAACTCATTTCTTAGGAAATAAATGTGTATCTCTTCTGGGTAGTGATGTGGAAGTGTCTGTCCTAAATAAACTAGTAGCTGGTATGTGGAAATGTTGAAACAAGATACTGAGTAAATAAATATATCGCCTAATTTTTATTTATAGTCCTGAATAACCTCCCCTTTTTTATTTTTTAACTAAATTAAAGCATCCCTTTATTAAAAGATCTCACTGACCTCAACTTTTCCAAGTACTATTTAATTCCACTACTGGTACCAAAAGTAGAAAATAGGAAAGCAGCAGGTACAGGCAAAAAGACAGGCAGGCACGGTGGTAGATACCTGTAGTCCCAGCAGTCTGGGAGGCTGAAGCAGAAGGGTAAGCCCAGTTCTGGGCAAGCTAGCAAGACCCTATATTAATAATGGTAAAAATGAGAAAGGGCTGGGGGTGTAGCTCGGTATGAAGTTCCTGGGTTTAATCCCCAGTGAAAGAAACAAGGAAGGATGAAAAGAAAGGAAGGAAATAGGGAATCAGTTTTTTGGTGACAGGTTGAAGAGATAAAGTACATTCTCCTTAGGGGTTGGAACATGCACATCAGCTATTAAGATAGCATCTGCCAGTTCATCCATGACAATATTTTGATCACTTTTTCGTTTGTTAGTCCAAAGGGAGACACACTAGATAAAATGAAACTTACTTGTCTTCCTATTGTTGCCAGGAGTGAAATAACTGAGCTCTTCGGTGGGAACGATCCCTTACTGATAGTGACATAAAATAATAATGTGACGTAGCAAAGCTAACTAATACAGTGGATGAAATACCATTTTAGTTAACTAAAATTTTAGCATGAAGATGTGTGTGCTGTAAACAGATACATGTAATTTTGAAATAACAGGATCCATGATGACCTTACAAGAACTGTAGACTTTTGTCGAAAGGCTGAGGCAACAGGAGTTAACTGGATTACAGTCCATGGAAGAACTGTTGAAGAAAGACATCAGCCACCCCACTATGATGCCATTAAAATAATAAAAGAAAACATGTCTATACCTGTGATTGCTAATGGAGACATTAGAAGCCTAAAAGAAGCAGAAAATGTGTGGCAGACTACTGGGACAGATGGTAAGCAATAAGTACTTGGATTTTTTATCTTTTAATTAGAAAAAATAGAATAGGGAAGTAATGTTAATTTGATTTTCATTATTTTTCTTTAATGCTGAGCCTTATTTTCCCAGCACACTGATTTAATCTAAGGAATTTATTAAAATGCTATTAACTCTTTTACTTGGAAACGACAGATTTTTAACTGGGATAAATCAACTAATTTTTCCAGTACCATCTTATGTAGTGCCCAGTTAGGAATCTTCCAGACAGCTGATGAGTGAAATAAAGCACCTAGAATGGAAATGAGTTAATAAAAGGTTCCTTAACCATAGGTCCCTCAGAACTGCTACATAGTTTCATTATCCCCTGAAATTTCGTGTGAACTAAACCAGATGATAACATGGGAGAAAGCATATAAAGAGTATAAGCATCCCAATTTGACAATCTGGATTTACCTTAAAGAAAAACTAAAGACTAATTGTTTAATGTGGAAGTCCTTTAAAAATGAAAAATTGTGTATGTACATTTAAACTTGCTTCATTTAGAAAAGGTACCAAAGTAAATTGTTTTAATGACTTAAATATCAGTAATGTAATAAGATTGTTTAACCTTGTACTAAAACTTTAATATTAATTTAATATTTGTTACATTGATTTTGAGCTAATAACCATGTATTCTTCATGTATGGACACATATACTGTGTTTTAATTTGTAGGAGTGATGGTTGCAAGAGGACTTTTAGCAAACCCCGCTATGTTTGCTGGATTTGAGGAAACCCCACTGAAATGCATCTGGGACTGGGTTGATATCGCTCTCGAACTTGGAACTCCTTTTATGTGTTTCCATCAACATTTAATGTATATGATGGAAAAAATAACTTCAAGGCAGGAAAAAAGAATATTTAATGCTCTGTCAAGCACATCAGCAGTTTTAGATTACCTTACAGACCATTACGGCATTTGACTGGACTTTCCAAATTATTTTAATATATACTTTATACCTACAGTGAAATCATACAAGGCCATATCTTAGTTTTTACTTTAAATCAGTGGTTCTTAAAGTTCAGTATAACAATAATCCCTGGGAGCATTTTTTGAAAGTAAGACTTGGACTGCGTCATCAGACTCTGATTCAGTGAATCAGGTGGACTCAGAAAGTTACAGTATTAAAGAGGAGTCCAAGAACTTGGGGGTGTAGCTCAGTGATAGAACCCTTGCCTAACATGGAGAAGGTCCTGGGTTCTATCCCTATCACCACCAAAAAAAATAAACTTTTCTCAAAAACCCAAGTGGTTCAAACATCCTGGTCATCCTAGCCAAACGTCAACAAACTACTCTGGATCTTGTTATGTATTGAGGGTGGAAGCAATGGGGTTATTTTTTTCCTTTCCTAAAGAAGTCATGTGTTTAACACTTAAATAAAGCTTATTTAATACTAAGTGTGACTCATGTATCTATGTTAACAAGAAGTATATTTTTAATAAAAATAAATGCAGAGAAGTCATGAAACAAATGCTAATATCCATTATAAAATTAAAAAGAACAAATTCTGAATAGAAGTGTACTCAGGGCTTACATTAAAAATCCAAATTGGAAAATCAGACTGGTACATACTAATTTAGGTGTGATGTTGTATATAGTGTAAAACTCAGATTGCATGGGACTCTAAATGTCATTAAACAGTACATTTCAATCTTTCTAGATACTTAGATTTCAGTTTGATAAATACAGCTGTACCTAAAAGGATAAAAGTAATTATGACCCCATGTATTTTTTGTTTTGAGACAAGGTCCCGCTTCATAGCCTAGGTGCCTCAAACTCATGTCCAACCTCCTGCCTCATCTTCCTGAGTGCTGGGATTGCAGGTATGAGCCATCACTTTTTTAAAATGGCACATCTTTCTTTTTTTAATTAGTGTATGATTTCAATTCATAATAGTTACATTCATTTTGGGGAATTGGTACATATGTGTATATTTTTTTGAATCATTTTCAGTCACTACCTCACCCTACATGCCCCCTTCCTATTTTAACTATTAAAAAATGTAGCTAATCTGGATGTGATTATATATTTGAAATATTTTCTAGAGCATAATAACCAGATTTTAAGAAACTAATTTTCATACTCTTTTGTGATGTAATTTTCATGCTTTTGGAAATTGATAATAATTGCAACTTTAAACTCCTGTGGCTCGAGAGTTTTACTCATTGATTTTGTCGTTAGTGAACGTGCACTGTAAGAATTAAGGATCTCAGGTTGAAGTAAAACAATTGACAACTAAAATATTCTATATTACCATTTGAAAACTCATATGGAGACCAATTATCTAAAAATGCTTAAGTTAAGAGTTTGTGAGCACTAAATTAATTTTAACAAGCACTGTACTGCCACATTTTTCTTAGACATATTATGTGCTTTTGCTACCATATGAACAAAGGTTATGGTCTCACAACACTAACCAAAAGACAGAAGTTAGAAATTTTTATTCGAAATAAGAATAATGACTCCTGGATTTCCAGGAGGAATCCCCAGTGAGTGGCTACATGGCCTGTCCATCCAGAGCTAATTATAGCTAAGCAGACCAGGCATTGCTCAGTTGAGGGGCCAACTATCACAGATGGCTCTGGATTTAGAATGACCCTGGGAACTTGGGGTCTCACCCAGTTATTCAACATGTAGGGTTTAAACAGGAAAAGGATTTTAAAAGAATTTAAAATTAAATTTGCTTTTTTTTTTTTTTTTTTTTTGTACTAGGAATCGAACTCAGGACCTTTCACTTGCCAGGCAGGTGCTTGTGTCGCTGAGCTATATCCCTGGCCTAAATTTGCTTTTAATTTTATTTTGTATTTCAAATTCCTGAAGAACTCAGGAGCTTAGTAGGGCCAGGCTGCGTTCCACGACGCCTAAGAAAGTCCAATCTTGGGCCACTGTCCTACTTCACCGACCATTCTTATTTTCGTATCAGTGTGGCTGATCACTCAACCAGCTATCGCAGGCCCTTGCCCTAGCTTGCTGCAGCTCATCAAATAAACTTCGTTACTTTCACTTTCCAGTTGCACTTTTTAAAAAATAAAGAATGGTTAATAATAATAATGATGATGCTTTTCGTCAAATGCCTGTGCGTTTGAAAGGAACAATATATAAACAAGGAAGTATGGTCAGAACGTCGAACCAACTGCGGGTCTCAGCAGCACTAGCAAGGGCACAGGACTTGGAAGGAACCAGCGCGGACACGTATCATTAAAAATAACTCTCTGGGGGTTAATTTATGCCTTTTTCCCCGCTTCTGTTAACATGCCGTGTATGTGCGATAAGTATTAAGAAAAAGGACCGAGTTAAATGTGGTTTTATCTTTTATAATTTCCCATTTTCAACATAATGGTTCCCCAAATAGTGTCCGAGAAGACAGGTTTCCTTACTTTCCTGACTCGTTGTCAATACTGGAAAGGCATCTTTAATCGCGCATATTCGGACACGTGGAAACCGGTAACTGAACGCCATCTCAGCCCCACCTTGACGACCGCAGCCGGACAGCACCCCGGGGTGTATCGTCTCCGGCGCGCCGCCCCTCCCCGGACCCTCAGCGAACGAAAGGCACCTCCGGGCCCTGAACCCACACCTCCCCCGAATGTCGGGCCGCCACTCGTTACTACAGACAGGAGCTCCTGCGCGGGCCGAGGCCTGCGTCACCCTCAAAGCCACTGCGACTGTTGCTGAGCCACCCCGCAGGGGCGCCACCCCCCCGGCCGGCGGCAAGCGAGGGGGCGGGCCCGG